CTAGATGACTTGGAAAGAGGGGCCTCGGTGGGTAAGATAGTATTGAAGAATGCTGGAGAGGAGAGAGCTAGAGAAGGGGGTCCCTTTAATTCTGTGTATGAAGTTATATAATCCCAGGTTCATCTTGAACTACACATGTGGAGGATAGACCCAGTGCAGCTTAGCAAAGCCTTTGAAAATGGGACCAAGATAAAAACGACCACCCACAGTAGAAGTGATAGGACTTGTGGTCTGAACCTAGCCAGGGTGATTTCTTACTAAGCAAAAAAAGAAAAAAAAATTCTCCAGAGGATTTGACTATGACTCAGAGTCTAAACAACATAATATCACAAACTTCTAGGATATAATCTAAAATTACTCCACATACAGAGTACCTAGAATATGTGACCAATTCTTAAGGGAGAAGACAATTAAGATGGCAAATCTGAGCTGTTAGAATTAACAAATAACTTAAAACAGTTATAATAACTATGTTGCATGAGGTAAAGATAAACACATGAAATAAATAGAAAGATAAAAGTTCTCAGCAAGAAATAAATTTTAAAAGAACAAAATAGACACTTTAGGACTAAAAAACACAGTATCTGCAGTAAAAAAATTAAATAGATGAGCTCAATGGCAGAATAGAGATGACAGAGGTGAGAGTCAGTGAACATGAAGATAGATCAATGGTAATGATGTAACCTGAAGAACAGAAAGATTGAAGAAGAACCGAACAGGGGCATGTGGAATAATATCAAAAGGTCTAACTCTTGTGCCACTGGAGTCCCAGAAGGAGAGGAGAAAATGACAAGTGCAGAAAAAATTACTACAAATTCCCCAAATTTGGTGAAAGACATAAGTTTATAGATTTGAGAAGCTCAGCAAAGCCAAAATAGGGTAAACTCAAAGAAAATCATGCCTAGACACATCATAATCACACTGCTGAGAATTAAAGATAAAAATAAAATATTAAAAACAGTTAGTGAAAAATGGCATATTACATATAAAACAATGAATCAAATGACCACAGAGACCGCATTAAAAGTTGAAGTAATAATGGTTATATAGGGATAGATAAGAAATAATACATAAAGTGTTTAGCATATAAAAGACACAAATGATAGTGATTCTCAAAGTAAATCTACACGTTGGCACCTCACATTTATTTTTCACTCTATTTCTTCAACCTTCCCATGGTTCCCCCTATGTGATTTGATCCCAAGAATTGGACGCAAATATACCTTTGATATTATTTCTTTCAATTTACCCCAAATCTTTTGTTCTTGTTGAAATGAGAATCTCTACTAATTCATGTCTTGTTCTTAAACAAGTTTTAAAAACCCTGTATGTTTCCTCAATCATTACATATAATAATGCATTTTAAACTGTCTTACAGGGATATTGTGAAGATCAAATGAGATATAGAAAAAAGTATTCAAATTCCTGTGACCAACTAAAACACTGAAAGTCATGTATTTCAGAAATAGTACCAGCTTAGAGGTTCTGAGAGCCTAATTCTTGTAGCCACTCATATGAGAAAGTATTTTAGAGAGAGATGGCTTGCCCCCATTTTCACAGAGGCTGATAAGGTTGGGGATGTGTCAGGAAACCATGTCATGCTTTGTTAGTTGACTCACAGGTTAGGCTAAGCAGTCACCATATGAAACCCTTACAGCCTTTAGGAAAGCATTTCTGGCTGTTGTTTGCTACATTATAAGCCCTTAATTATTAAATCCTGCTTCTAGCAAACAGCACATTCTAAATCTAACCTCTGTCTTCTCCTTCGCACAGGAAACTAGGGGTAGTGAAGTGAAGGCACAAAAAATTAGATTGAAAGTAGGGTTCAGATGAGTAATTTGAAGTAGCAGAACCAAAATGGATCTGAAAACCTAGTGTTCCATGAGTATTTATAAATCTGTGACCTTCCCTCTGTCCTCCCCAACTTCCCAAAGGTCGTGAGCAGTAGCACACAAAATATCCACAAGGGATGTGATGTGTGAATCGGTCACTTGGCCAAACTCTTAGTCATGGAGTGGGTGGAATAATCATCATGAAGAATGGATGAAAGGGAAGTTTTGTATGAATAAAAGACATCTCCACATAATGATGCCATCATTCAAAGACTGAGAAAGCTTGGGAGTCTTGAATAGAGACCCCACAAACTAGAGACACTTTCTCAGAGCTTTTTAAAATCCTTGGCCAATATTTTTTAAAAAGGTCATAGGTTTCTTGGGTTTTGTGGTTCTCTGTTTATTGTATTGTATTGTATTGTATTGTATTAAAGGGGAGAATGATGATTTTTATTTTTTTAAATATATTTTATTGATTTTTTCCAGAGAGGAAGGGAGAGGGATAGAGAGTTAGAAACATCGATGAGAGAGAAACATCGACCAGCTGCCTCCTGCACACTCCCCACTGGGGATGTGCCCGCAACCAAGGTACATGCCCTTGACCGGAATCAAACCTAGGACCCTTGAGTCCGCAGGCCGACGCTCTATCCACTGAGCCAAACCGGTTAGGGCGGTTCTCTGTTTATTAATATAAGGCAGCAAAATAGAGTGGGAAAATGTGGGGCCTGCGACCAGTGTGGGTTCTGCTTGTATCCTTAGGAACAAGATATGGTTTTGATACCGTTGTAATTTAGCCTAGTTATTAATAAATGCAAAGGAGCAAAGGGAAGGCCAAACATTATAGCCCTTTGTGAAGCTTTGCCAGGAAGCTGCAGTTTAGATGCATGCCCAGTAAATTCTGGGTGAAATAGGGAAGGTACTTGTCTGTGAGTCATACCTGGGAACAGGTCACTGGCCAGAGTAGGCATGGCCACTACAAGCGTGGGAAGATATAAGATATTTAATCTCCTAAACAAAGGAGTTCGCTCTTCTGGTTCATGCTCTTGCACTTTGTGTTTTCGGGACTCTTGGGACTCCTGTTGCAGGCAGTAAGTTCTCTTGGCTCCCCTGCATTCACCCACATGGCCCACATGCACCGGACTGATGGACTGCAGCTAGCCCAATACTAAACTGGACCCTGCTTCATCATGGAAGGGAAACTTTGGACATTGGCTTTGCTGACTCCCCAGCTGCACATCTTCCAGGACTGGATTAAGGGAAATGGGACTTTGGAAACCAAGAGATATAATTCCATGCAAATAAAAATTACTCATCCTCCTGTGTGAGGCTCAGAACATTCTTTTTCTCAAGATATTAAGAATGGGGTCCTCCACTTTCATTGATAACAGTTTCAGTTTCTCCTTTTATTAATAAGGAATAAGAAACGCCTGTGTGTGTTTCTTTAAAACCTCATTTGAGGATATGTTTTTTATTGATTTTAGAGAGAGAAAGGGGAGAGATAGATGGAGGGAAACATTGAAATGAGAGAGAAATATTGGTTGCCTCCCATATGCACCTCTACCAGCATCGAACCCGCAATCTAGGAGTGTGCCCTGACTGGGAATCAAACCCACAACATTTTGGTGCACGAGATGATGCTCCAACCAAATAAGCCACCCAGCCAGGGCAGGAACTCCTGTTTTAAAAATAAGTTTCTGTTAATCTCCAATGGCATGTATGCATATTCTATATAATAATCTATATAATAAAAGGGTAATATGCAAATTGACCCCAACGGCCGGGCAGAGTGAACAGGAGCGACCGGTTGCTATGATGCACACTGACCACCAGGGGGCAGATGCTTAACACAGGAGCTGCCCCCTGGTGGTCAGTGCACTCCCACAGGGGGAGCTCCGCTCAGCCACAAGCCAGGCTGACAGCTGAGTGCGCTCCCACAGGGGGAGCTCTGCTCAGCCACAAGTCAGGCTGACGGCTGCGAGTGCAGCGGCGGTGATGGGAGCCTCTCCCGCCTCCTCAGCAGCACTAAGGATGTCTGACTGCCAGCTTAGGCCTAATCCCCTGGGGAGCGGGCCTAAGCTGGCAGGTGGATATCCCCCCGAGGGGTCTCGGACTGTGAGAGGACACAGGCCAGCCAGAGGGATCCCTCTTCCCCCAAGTGCATAAATTTTCGTGCACCGGACCTCTAGTAATAGATACTGCTGAAAGAGAAATAGGGATTGAAAGCATCTAGATGGTACGAAGTAGTCTTTTTGTTATAGATAATAAACCAAGATATGGAGAAAAATGGGGACTAGCTCCTATTTGCTGTTTCATTGCAAAATCCAGAACACCTTACTCTGTCCTGTTAGTTAGTTTTAGAAGAAGAATGTTATAGAATAAAGTCTTCCTGCCCTCCCTAGACTTACCCTACCTCCTTCCCTTTTTCCAATATGTCCATACATAAGTTCCACATGTTCCCCCCCAACCCAATGGTGCATCTCTCATGGGGACCACATCAATTTTTTAAAAGTAGAAGAAGTTTCATTAACTTAAAACTGTCATCTCTACTCTCAATATACCATCCTAACTATGAATGAATGACAACATCTCTGTAAGCACTAGTTTTCATCTGCGGGTGGTAAAAACCCAAAATAATATTTTTGTTAAGCTAGGTTTAACGAATCCTTTTATGTCAACAGCATTTTCCCACACTTGATTCAAATTTCCTTTTATTTTGTGGAATCATAAACCCTCCCTTTCTCTTCCCTGCCTTAGTAACTATGTATGACAATATTTCAAGTTCTTGCCTCTCTCACAGTGTGCTTATTATATGTCTGAAACCTTAACCCACAAAATAAATCTAATTAAAAGAAAAGAAAATATAGTCCCCCAAGAAATGGTTTTGCTAACATTTTGCTCCAAGTTAACAGATCGAGTCACCAATCAAATGTAAGATTTACCTTAATGTGATTTAGTCATTTATAAAATTTCACCAATATCAGGAAATTCGATCAAAATCATCACAGAGTAAACTAGCAGATGGATCAATGTGCAAAGTTCAAGGCTTAAGTGAAAATAGAGAACTATTAGATTAAAATGACCGACAGGTCAAGGTTGGCAGTAAGGCAGAAATAGGAGAACTACTCAAGAAAAGATGAGCATTTTTATGACAGGGAGGGGCATGCTTACCTGTCTTCTGTTAGCTTCATTAGGGTTGTTCCTTGAGTAGAGAAGACAATAAAGGACATTCTTAGCTGTGGGCTGGAAAGGAAAAGAAATTCTTTTAGGGCCAATAGAAAGACTGTGCAATGCCATTCTGGTCCAGGCTTCCTCCCTCCCCTGCCCTTTATATTAAGGCTGCCAAAACCGAGGACCTACAACCCAAGGGGCTTCCATCATTGGTGTAAACATTTAGCCAGCAGAAGACTTGAAGCTAAGGACCAAAGAGAAGACCCATGTTGTCTGCCTGGAGGCTGCTTCTGATTCGACACCACCACTCAGCGAGTGCGGATTATAAGGAAGAAGCTAAAATTCATCACTGCCTGTGCTCTGTCTGAAGAAGTGTGTCCCTAGGAGAGGACTGGTCTGCATGGTTCTACCAAAAGGGGATCTCAATAGACAGAGTTTGATAGTGTCTCGCAGTCGTCTGGTGTACCCTATAAGGAAGAGAGCGTCTCAGATGGGTGCGGCTTGTTCCCATCAGCCATTAAGATCACCTGTGAACTCCTTTTGCTCTGAAAGTAGGATCACCATCAGCTTTTGATTTCTACTTGGCTTCCCAAGGAGGTTATCCTATAAAGAGAGGCTGTGCTAATGGGCCCCAAGCATATCTATTCCAGTTGATAGTTCTATTTCTCATTAGTAATTAATATATTGGCATGATTTTTATATGGCATTACTTAGAAGCTTTGTCAATGTACAATTGACAAATTTTACCTGTTCTGGGAGTCAGAACAACTCTCAGCTAAGGACCAAATATGCTTCTGTCTGCAGAATGGACTGTCAGACTGCAGGGCTGTCGCTGGGTGGCCAACTGGTTCATCCATCATAGCACCAATCTATTTCTTCACAATGCAATAACCTCCCAAACCTGATCTGGCCCCAGCTAGTATCTTTCTCACTTCCTAAATGTTTCTCAAACCTGTATGTCCCTCTCTCTCTCTCTTTTTTTCATCTCTTAGCTTAAGAACTTGACCTCAGTTATCTGACCACTACAGTTATTGCCTAGGGATGAACTTATCTATCATCATTCCTTGTTCCCCTGCTCCCAGAATTATTTTCCTAAAATATAAATCAGATGTTGTCAATCATTTGCAATAAAACCTCTAATGGCTCCTGTTGCTTCCAGGATGAAGTCTACATTCATTACCTACCATACGCTTGAAGCATCTTTGGAAACCGTTAACATGGTATTTAATGCTTGGGAGGAGCCCAAGCAATAGCTGGTGTGTTGAATATTGGTTTCGTGAAGCAGACTTAGGTTCTCTGTGCATGACACCACACTACCTATTACTACGTCACCAGTGCTGGCCCAGCAGGATACCTGTCCTAAACAACAATAATAATGATCATACTAATTATGGCCAAACTTACCAAGTGCTTACTATGTGCCTGACACTACTGTTAAGTGATTTGCCAGTATTATCTCATTAAACTTAGAATAACTTTATGAGATCAGTACTGTTATTATTCTTATTTTTTACAAAAGAAAATTGAGACCCTGAAAGATAAAGGTCACACAGTGGGAGAATGGTGGATCTGGGGCTTGAAACCAAACATTCTCATTCTAGAACTTGGGCTCTTAAGCACTATAGTGCCCTGCCTCCCTTATAGAGAGTTCAGCTCTTGGAAAGAATACAGTTCAGATGTGGGAAACGTAGGTCTCCAAGAGGCCGTTGGTATATGAGTCTAGGCTAGAGACATAATTTCAGAGTTCTCAGCACACTCAGCATGTGAGTAAAACTGTTCAAAGAAAGTGTCAGCAGCAAGAAGGAATGTGAGCCAAATTTAAAACCAACATCAGCATTTACAGGCCTGGCTCTGGTCAGGGAGATGAAAGGAGAACTGGAAGCCAGAGGAGGAGAGAATTCCAAGGAAAGATAAACCTGACTCAAGTGAGGCTCCTCTATCCAGCTGAAGAAGCTCGCTGGCTCTGTCCTCTAGGGCACCATGTAGGGCCTTGGGTGAGAGCAAGCAGCTGGAGGGGGGGTATAGCAGCCAGTTGGCAGTGAGTTAAGGGATGAATAAGAAGCTAAGTGAAATAAGCCAGTCAGAGAAAGACAAGTATCATGTGATCTCACTTGTATGTGGAATCTAATGAACCAAATAAACGGACAAAATAGATCCAGAGACATAGAAGCATGCAACAGACTGAGTATTTCAGAGGGGGAATGGGGTAGAGGAAAAGTTTAACTAAAGAACTTATATGCATATATAAGGAAGGCCTGTGGAGGAGGCAGGAGTAGGGTAGAGGGGGTTAATGGGAGAAGAAAAGGGGACATCTGTAATACTTTCAATAATCAAGATAAATTTTAAAAAAAGAAGTAAGGATATAGAGACAGAGCGAGTTTTTAAGGATATGTGAGAAACAAGTAAGATATGTTAGTATTAACAGGAACACATGATCAAGAGATTTGTTGCTCCTCCTTTTCAGACAAGGGGCAGTAGAGATTAGTTGGTGTCTATTAACAGTGGAAATGGAGGCAGAAGAAATGTAGAGAAAACATAAAAAAGAAATAAAGACCTGGAGGAGATCGGAAACAGTGGGATAAAATGGACTAAAATGCAGGAATTGGCCTGAAACAGTGGGGTACTTGAATCTCAGAGACGGTGGGAAGGACATGCATGCATCTTGTGATAATGCATGGAACCTGAGGTAAACAGTTGTTTGCTCTTCTCCAGGTTCCTGGTGAAATAGGAAGTGAGGCTCCTTGCTGAGAGTGATGGGTGTGAGGTGTAGCTTGGAGGCTTAAAGAAAATGGTGAAGAGTTAGACTGACTATTAGGAAAACTTGAGGGGGTCAGAATAAAGACAAATAATAGGACTTGAAATTTCAAGGATCCCACTGAAATGAGAAATGATATATTTATACCGTTATTAATCACTGTTATTGAATAAACTTCCCCTCTGCAGTATCAGCTGCCTAGACTATTTGTTACAATGATCAATAAAAACCAGTCATCCCTTTTCAAAATGTATTCACTTACTCAAAATTATTGACTGAACATATACTATGTGTCAGGCACTGTTATGGGCACGTGGGCTGCAGCTATCAATAAAATAGCCTCTCCTGCTTGGAGTTTGCATGACAGTAAAGTCTTGGTGCCACACTTGGATGGGGCCCACAGCCAGGGAGGTCAGTGGAGATAACAGAGGAAAGTGCCTCGCGGTCTGGGTTAGGTCATGTCAATTACACGGGTCCTCAGTTTCTTTATCTATAAAATGAGAGGATTGGATTATGTGGTCTCATAGCTCCCCTAATCCCTACCCTCTAACTTCCTTTGATTCTAAGACACTGAAGTGTCTGGAATGGCTGAAGGAACTGGCAAAGAGAAGTGTCTAGCACCCACTCTAAATTGGGTGCTGGGCTAGTTGGTTTGCACATGTTTTCTCCCATAATTTTTACATGCAAACTAGGGTTCAGCCGAGTTAGTTACTACGGTTGCACAATGGAGCTTAGATTCCAATCTGCATCTGCCTAACTTCAAAGCTTTTCCCAGTAGACTCCTCTGCTTCAGGGAGAACAGAAGGCCAGAAGGGCAGAGACATAGCAGATACTGTCGAATGTCTGGAGGCAGGTTTGTTTTCTATCACTCCAAAGGATCAATGGATAAAAGTGCAGGAGAGGATATTTTGGCTCAATGACAAAAAGACCTTTCTGGAAACTGGAATTGTCCAACTGGCAGCAGTTTCTCACCAGAGCTATTCAAGCTGAGAGTGACTGCCTCTTGGAATACTAGTAGATAAGTTGGGAGGTTGTTCCTTTCAGTTCTAAGCTTCTAGGAGTCTCTTAAATATTTCGCATTTAATGCCACCTGTGTATCTGCTTCCTTCCTTTCTCTCAACTTCCCCTCATCCACCTCTCTCCTCTCAGCATCTGTTTTTCTCATTCATCCGGGTGTAGCTGCTTCCTGCTGCAGCGTCCAATTTTTGGTATCACAGAGAGGACATCTCCCTCCAAACTGGCAGGCAGGTACATGCTGAGATTGTTAGCTGAATTTGGAGGAACATGTGTGTCATCACCCTGATCTCAGAGAAGAACTGTCTTCTGAGATAAAGAACTTCATTCAAAAAGTATACGGTTACTCATATTGGCTGGAAGACTTTACAGAGGCCATCAGCAAGAGAGGAGCTGCTTTGTTATTTTTTTTTTTAATTTTTAAAAGTTATTGAGAGAGAGAGAGAGAGAGAGAGAGAGAGAGACATCGATGTGAGAGTGAAACATCAATTGGCTGCCTCCTGCACACCCTCCACCAAGGATGAAGCTGACTGGGAATGGAACCCGCAACATTTTGGTGCACAGGACGATGCCCAACCAACTAACTGAGCCACATTGGCCAGGATGAGAGGAGCTGCTTTAGAATTTACAATTGGAAACAATTTTACCAAAGACCTTGACAGCTGGCTTCAAGCATATCCATGGAAGCTCTCACAGTTGTTTATCCCAGGGAGGTTGAAGTGGCCTCCTTTCCTTTACTAGTGGGTGTCTATAATTATTGGAAAGTGGGCCCTCCAAGATCCCTACAATGTTTATAGTGATGATGTTCAAAACTGCATTGTCCTCTCTTGGAAAGCAGTGTTGAGAATGCTCAGAGAATTCTACCTGATAGGGCACATAGCTAGTTTGCCCAGGAATGAGGGATGTGAGACTTTCGGTGCTAAAACTAGAAAAGTTCTGGGCAAACTGGGATGACTTGGTCACTTTACATATACCTATACTCCCTCCTACAATGAGCCAATTGCTCCAGCTTGATACACTGTGCAAGAGCATATTAATTATCCTTCTAGAAGAATATATTCTTCAGCAAGAGAGGGACAAGGTTAAAATGTTGGTCTTTCAACTAAATTGGGGTCCTCTTGAAAACATGAAGCTAATAGTCATTCTAAGAGGTGGCAAAGATAAAAACAAAGTCTCGTCCAAGATCTCAGGGTCTACCTTTGTCAAAAAGCATCCCTGAAGTAGTAATTTGTAGAACAGCAAATACAGGCTGGTTTTGCTCATGGCAAAGAACTATGCATGTGTTTCTCACCTGATGAACTTATGAGCCAACTGTTCCACAAAGTAGTAGATCTCATTCCAATGGTGCATCACACTTCCTGATCTAGGAAAACAAAAGCAGACGTTACTTAATCAGGTATTCATTTGTCTTTACCTTTCATCATTTCTCTTCATATTATTAATTGATACTGGACCTATCTATTAATTGGGCTCATTCTCTGAAACTTCTGTAAGTTTGCAAATTATCTGAAATGGTGTTTAGAGTTAATGTTAGAGTTCTTAAAATTTTTGTTAAGGGGAACTCCTTCACTGTACTTCCCACCCTTTCCCATTCCCATGCCACACAGTCATACACTAAAACAAACAAACAAACAAACAAACCAACAAGCAAACAAACCCGGGCTCAATCAGACTTACAGGTTAGTTTCAAATCTTTAGGAAACTGTTATTTTTGTGAGCTATTTAAATTATTCCTTTGATAAGGGAAGGAAAACAAGTTCATTTCAGTTGAATGAGATTAGCACAAATTAGATGCCCCAGTAGACACAGATAAACAAATCCCCCTCCTCAAAAAACAGTCCAATTTCATATATATATATATTGCAAATTTTCAAAAGAAAATGTTAACAAAACGAATCCAACAGGAATCCAAAAGAATAATAATTAATTAATTGACAAAGTTTATTTCAGGAATGTATTGATAGTTCGACATGTAAGGAAATCTAGTGTAACTAGTCATTCTAATAAATAAAAGAAGAAAAACTACACAGCCTTTTATTTATTAAAAGGAAACCCCTTACTGGAGAAAGAGGGAAATATTCTCTAGGGCACATGGAATTATAGAATTTTAAATCTGGAAGGGGCTTCTTTTTTTCTCAAGGTTGACTTCTGTTTTACTGATACTATTTATTATGGCTTCAATTTAGCTTATAATTATTTCCATAGTGCACATACTCAATTTGTTGCAATGGCTTCATAGTAGATTTTTCTGTTCTAACCCACTGTTTTCTGAAGCTACGATCTCTCTCTCTCTCTCTCTCTCTCTCTCTCTCTCTCTCTCTCTCTCTTTTCACTTAAGGATCTATTTCAGCTGAGCTCTGCATTTCTGCCTATCATGCTAATAACTGTTGAGGTTAGAGTTTGTTCCTTTTAGTCTGACAGTTTCTACTGCAAATATTTTCCACTGGTTTCAGATTAATTTCATTTACCTTAATTTTAACTTCCAGAGAGTTATTTATGACCATTTTCTTTTGTTTTAGACTATTTAAGATGAATCTGTGCAAAGTAGATTTTATGCTTTCCTCTCCATGGTACAAAATCCCTAAGAATTCTCATTGAATGTATTCCAGCTCTATGAGAAGAATTTATTTTTCTCTGCCCCTCATCTAGACAGATATGTCTGTTTGATGTGAACACAAATGATAAATTACATTACGATTCTACAGTGAAAGACTCCATATCATAAGGATATCTCACTTTACCCAAGTTAATCTATAAGTTCAATTCTAGGGGAAAAAAATTGATAGGATGTTTTATGAAACTAGAAAACTGACTTTAAAAATGAAATGAAGATTAAAGGTCTAAAAGTCATCAGGGCAATTGTGAAAATGAAGAGCAAGATTAGAAAGCTTGCCCTATCAGATATAATGACCCCATATGTAGAATACATGGCATAACAGTAGAACCAATGGGATAGAACAGAGAACCTAGACCTCAACCTGTGTGAGGTCTTGCTATATAGTGAAAGAGGTGATTCAAATTGAGGAGGAAGAATAAGCCTTTGAATAAATGATGCTATGACAATGTATCTCTAATTGGGAAAAACTAATTGGTTCACAATTTCATACCAAATGTAACCCTGGATGTATTAAAGCCTAATGGGAATGACAAACCTTTAAATCCATTGAGCAAATTATAGATTTTTATGTCATCAGGTTAGTGAAGGGTTTCTTTGACCAGATGCAGAAAGTAGGAATTATTTTTTTAGAAAAGGATGTTTTGACTACCAGAAGTATCAAAAATCCTGAATTACAAAATATGCCATACACAAGTTCAAAGATAAGAAAAGAGTGAGGGAAGATTGGTCTGCAACAAATATAAAAGGCAAAAGATTCGTGTCCAGGATATGTAAATAATTGGTACAAGTAAACATTTAAAAGGCAAATAGAAAAATAGACAAAGGATCAGATCAGGCAATCCCCTGAAGGACGGTAAATCAGTATTTGAAAAATCATTCAACTCTTCTAGAAAAGTAAATATAGAAATGCATAGAGAATGGGCAAAAGTAGGTTTATAGTTATAAGTGAAACAGTTCATTCTTGTGCTGTTATTTATTAATTGTTGTATTATTTATTTGTATTACAAGTGTAAACCTACTTTTTCCCCAACCCTGTATTTAAATACTTGTTTGGGGAAGAGCCAGCAGTTTCATGTGGCAGCAGCCCATAGAGTAGGGGCTGACGGGGAAAGAGGTCTGGGTGAAAAGAGGGATGGGGGCCCCTCCTGTCAAAAATAAACCTTTCCAATAAACCTTTTCCATTCCAGTCTCTAAGCTTTTATACATATTCCCTCTGCTTGGGACACTCAGTGTCCACACTGGCAAACTCCTACTCATTCTTCAAGACACAACTCAGTCTCTGCCTGTTGCCTTTGACAACAAAGATGGGGCTCATTGTCCCTGCCTCCTGCGTTCAGAGCACAGTGTACGTCTCTCAGTCATCAACCTCTGATATTAGGTTGCAATCACTTTTTTTGTCAAGCTCCCCTTGTGGGGGTCTTAGGGATATTTGCCTCTCCAGCATCTACCTGTTTGTGGAGTGGATGAAAGAAGAGCACAGAGAGGAGAAACCTCTATTGCTCATGGAAGGTCCTGATCTTTGGCCAACTTGACATCACCTCTTCCTCCCTCGTCTGGTTAAATACTCTGGGTTTGGGCTCACATGACTCCAGCCAATTCCCATGACCCTATGTGAACCTAAGGAGCCTTCGCAGCTGGGTCACTGATTCTAGAGCACAGTTCCTTGGCAAATGCGCCTACTTAATCATCAGCGATAGACCTCTGAGCTTCATGGCAGCTGGAAGTCTCCTAAGAGCTTAACAGAACTGCATCTACTACCCTTGGGCTTTTAATGTTTTGGAAATCCTCATTCATTAGAATCTCAGCCATAATCCTGGAAAGCATTCAGTGTATACTTTAAATCTCAAAAACTGGTCCTGGCTGCTCTCCTTCAGCAATGGGGTAGAGATGCTCTGGTCCTGGGGGTCCTGGTGAGAGCCTGGTGGATATGGTCCAGTGCTGTGTATGTGCCTCGGTACAGGCACCACATGACTGACCGAGTATAAGCCATGATCCAATCCAGAGTTCTGTAACTCCTTTCCATTGGAATCAAGAGATTTTCTTGGACACTGATCATCTGTGTCCACTTCTGAAGTGCAATGCTGTGCTTTCGTCCATATGACCAGGATAAGCACTACCTGAAAGTTTGGTTATTGAGAGGGACTGTAAGATGCCTTTTGATTTGCAAAAAATCCCCATATCTCCTCCATCCTGAGTTCGATCAGTAGAGAAGTTGTGCATTGAGGGGATTATACTGGGAGGGGAGGCAAAGTGCTGGTGAAATAGGGACTTGAACTAAAATTGAGAGATTTTCTTGACTCTCAGCTTAAGGGGCGTTTGGAGTCCATCTTTTCTTGGTTTACTACTTCTTTGTTTCAAGGACTAGCTCTATTTCACAGCCACAAATCAACCTGCGTTCCTTTATTTGTTAAAAAGGATCACCCCATAATCATTCACTTTCTTTCGTCTTAAAACATTTCATTTTCACTATTCTTTTGAATAACATGTACAATTTATGCAATTTTGGTATCCATCTGATTTGCTGATGCTAGATATAGGGAAAGAGTCAAGAAATATACTGGGGTGTTGAGAAAAGTTTAGATATATCCAGAAAACTTTCCTGCTAGTGGGTAGGTGCTGTAGTTTCTCAAGAAGAAAATAAAACGAGGCCTCTAAGACAAAACTACAGGCGAGGAGGTATTGCCCAGCTTGTTTCACGCATTCTAACTCTGATCAGACTTGCCCTATTACTGTTGAGGTTTGTTTCATATTTACACATGATCACTCTTTACACAATTATGTAAGCCTTGACCAAAATATATCCCCTCTGGGACACACTTGAGATGTACATAGCTTGTTCCCTCAAGCATTGAGGGTAAATATAATCTAAAATTCTGGGAACCAAACTGGCTTTGCATTCTCTGGGTTACCATGAGATCCCAAGGGGCCTCAGCTACTAAAGGGGCAGAGTATAGGATTATCTAGATCTGCACCTTGGACTTCTTCTAGTCCTTATTACTGAGCCTTCTTAACCCATGCGCTGTCTTCCCCAAGATCAAATCACCCCATGGAAAAGGAAAGAGCCCTGATGGGGGTGCTGCTTATATTTCTTTTACTCAAATCCGCAAGAGCAAGAGGCTTGCTTGCCTGCCTGGTGCCACAGTCCTCTCCTCTGCCTCACCACCACCCTGAACTCTAATGACCTCATCCACCGGGCCTCTAGCACCTGCCCACTGGCACCTCAATCAGCCTCCTTCCCTTCTCCCACAGGGGTGGATATGCTGGGCCTTGGACTCAGTTTGGACTTTCTGTTAAAACACACATGCATCATCTGCACTCTGCCTTGTAAACTGATTTTCTGGTTTGAAATCTGCCCTAGTAGCTACTCCCAGAATAATCAATCCAGGGTGGTGTGTCCATGTTCAGACCCTTGGCTTCCTCTCAACCCCGAGGACCTAAGTGGACTCCTGGTCATAGCCAGAAGTAGGGTGTTGGTTGGGGAAGTGGCAGAGAATGGATCCAATTCCAGAATCTCTCCACCCTACAATGTGTAAAATATCTCATTTATCTGCCAATCATTTTAAGAGTTAATGATCTTAAAATCCCAGCTATGGAATCCTTATGTTCTCTTCAGGTAGTAATGGCTCTCCCAGCCATTATGACCGAAGCTCCAAGGAAAAAATAAAAACTCTTTCATAATCCAAATATAAGTGGTACTGGGAAATGTTCCATTAGGCTCTGTTGTGGGTTGGTTTTTTTATAATTTG